TGTCTACTTTGTTTTTTCAAAAGAAAAAAGTTACTTCTTCTCTCTTCTTACTGCGTCGTCAAGGTGTCGAAACGACGTCGACAAAACTCCTCCACGACAACGCTCGTCCACATGTCGCGAAAATCACTTTGGAAAAAATTGAGGCTGGGAAGTCCTGCCTCATCCGCCATACAGCCCAGACCTGGCACCATCCGATTACCATCTGTTCCGGTCGATGCAGCACTCCCTGGCCGAGAGAAAGTTCACAAACCGCGAAGAAGTCCAACTCTGGGTGTCCAACTACTTTTCGCAGCCGGCCGAGTTCTTCGAAAGAGGAATCCATTCTTTGCATAAACGTTGGCAACAAGTCATTGATAGTAATGGAGATTATCTTTTGAATTAATCTTGTTTAATTTCGTTTTTATAAAAAAAATTTTTAAACTCAAACGCGCATTTCTTTCCGAACAACCTAATATTATTGTGTGGTATATGTAGGAGTTTCCCAGTGGAAAGGTAGCATAACGGTGTTTGCTGTAAGTCAGCACTGTGATTCAGAAAGGCAGTGCTCCGAGCTAAAGGATTTCTCATAAAGATAAGGTTATTGAGATTCTCGGCACTATTCAATCATTACTACCTAAATCTTCAAAAACTTTTTGGACGAAACTTTGCCTTTAGGAATTACTCAGTGTCCCGATCACAAATACAACATGTTTTTGGCCCAGGCGCCATTAAAAGCCCCCTCTTTTTCACCGGCGTTGGTATAAACTTGCATACTAGCCTTATTTGGTGTCCTGGCTAGATGACATTCACTCTGGGCACTATTGCCATCTGGCGAGAACAGCGCCGGCACTCACTAGACACCACTACCTTTTTCAGCAACATTCAGAACTTGCATACTGAAATTATTTTGCGTTCTGCCCTCCAGTTAACCTCAGATGCGAATAGTAACCTGGAATTCGGCAGCAAAAGTCATGGCGCCATGTGGGCGCCGGCGCCATTTTAGTGCCGAATGGCCCCGTCGCCAGAAGCGTGGTTTCGTGTTCGCAGTAGTGAGTATGCAAGTTTGCGTCGATTTCGGCCAAAAAAGTGGTGGTGCCACATAACATCGACATCCAAAACGGATGTCAGTCAGTGCACTGGTTATCACTACAATGAAAGTTTCAGCGAAAAAAAAACTCTCGGGGTTTTGCGGTAGTATCACTTGAATGTTGGCAGTTGGTGTAGTGACAAGTGGCGCGCTCACCCCTCGCGCGGTTCTGTGTTGAGATGCTGAGTCATTTCCCGTCCAGGCCTTCCACCTCCGGATGCGGTAAATTCGGTACCAGATTCGTCTGGGAGGATGAGAACACTGACTTGTACATCGGCTGGCCCCGCAAGTCATTGTATAGGCCACATCGCATTCAATAAGCCACTACGATTCTGAATGGAAGTAGAATGCGTGCCGCATCCCACAAAGGGATTGACGGCGAAGACTTTATCCTTTTTTATCACTCGAATAGCGCAACTTTTTCAAACAAGGCAAAACAGGAGATTACCGTGGAGTCGTGCCATTCAGCAAAGTCGTAGTCACCAGTACGTGGTTGACCCAAAGTGATTAGGCGGAGGTTCTGCGGCAACCAGAAGTTCCATTTCACAAGGTAAGCTGCAGTAACACCTGCGAGTGCAGCGCCTGTAGAGTGGCCGGTCACCTGAAAATGGTTGATGAAGGCTCTATCTGTTCTGCCACAGTCTGATTCCATACAGCAGGATCACTTGCTCCCTCAATGCCATGTGGCCAGGCAGATGTGATAGTAACTGTTCAATGCTCGAACAGTCAAACCTAACCTCGGTTTCTCGAGGCTAGGCCTGTCAGCTTGTTGTCTAGCCGGCTTCAGAACTACTTGTAGAATTTTAGGCTATCGGATGACCTAGTTCACTAGAAAAGGGTTATTTTGAAAAAGTTGGACCTCATGATAACATTTTTCCCTGGAATTCTTATTACTCCAACGTTGATTCGAGTGGCTTGATTAGCTGATCTCTGATAGACTCCCCACGTAGTTTTTTGCAACTATTGCACTGAGCAAGTAGGGAGTGGCTTGAGATTTCTTATTATAGCTTGATTACACCGATCGTAGGATAAAATTCTGCCCAGCTCAACCCGGCCTCCTTGTATTTCTCCGTGTATCAGAATCTAATTGTGGAGCGACACACTCGGGATCCTTCTGAAGCTAATACACTCTAGTTCGCTGCGGACGGTTGGGCGTGTCAGCCAGTATGAGTGTGTCACCCAGTTGAGGCCGTTCTCTGCCTTCTTGTTGAAATGCGCATGCGACAAAAAGTTGTAGAAAACGAGTAATACGAAGGATATGATGCAGTATTGTCACTTGCTCCGCTTCAACAACTGGTGGAGAACGAGTTTGGCACCGCGCCAAACGCAGCCGCACTGACACGCCCAACCGTCCGCAGAGAACCACACTATACACTCCATATTTCGGAGATAGGGAGGGTGTTGCAGCTTATCCGAAGGTAGTCACGGCAGACCTTTTGGAGAACTTTCTTTAGGGCAGTTGTGATCATGTCTTTGTCTCATATGAGAATAGCCACGAAAAGCGCTTCCTATGCTGTGTTCAAGTGGAGCACACTGCCACGCGGGGATAAATACTTGAAACATTGGTGCAGCTTCAGCGCACGAGATAGCTGGTCAAAGTGGGCGTAAATCTAAGGCATTGATGCTGCCGTGCTCGTTCTTTGAACCTGCCCTCATAAGACAGGTTCAGAAAGTGAGCTTGGCAGCACCGAGGCATGAGATCTCCGCCCATTCGACCAACTAGCTCGGGAGTTGAAGCTGCTCCAATATATCCTGAGTAGCATATAGTGATTAAGCTATAGAACTGAATGTGTCCACGTTCTGCATATAAACCGATAAGATAAGTGGCAAACTCCCAGAAACCTGATCGTCTCGAGCGATCGCCACCATTCCTTTTGATTAACGTCTTCCAAGAAATCTGGATGAAATTATAAGTTACTTACAATTACGTTATAGTCGGGATACAGGTACTTGAGGGTGCGCACTTGTTGTTCGAGAGCGCCGGCCCATATGAACATGAAAGCATCATGAAAGTATTTGAAAAGATGGCCATCCTCGAAAAATGCCACTTTTTTCCTGAATGGAATACTTATTAGGTCGCTGCATAGGTCTTTCGTAATGTGATTTTGTTTTATAAGGATTCTAAACGCAAATCGGCTCAGCTGGGATATAGGGGAAGAGAGAGGAGGGGGGCGGGTGCTCCCTGCAAATTCTCTACTGCGGTCAATGGTGCAACGTACTGTCGAAGTAATCCGCAAAGCTGCTAACTGTTACCTTTTTCATTTTGCAAGCTTGTAAAGTTGCAGTGACACCTTGCCCCAACACATAAGCATCGGTGATTTTTGACAGCTTTCCTTCCTCGGAGGGGCTCCCAAAGAATATAGCGACGGATAACTTGCTATTCCTCAGCCAAGAAACACCCGGTCCTCGTCGATGCAATAAACAGATGAATGCCACTCAAATGGCAGTTGAGCAGGATGTGGGGGCAGGCGGTTTACTGCCCAGGTTATCGCTGAAAAGGCTGCGAGAAAGCGTTTGGCCCAGCTCACCCAGCCCACCAATGACGTTGGCAGTAACCGCCCGCCCCCAGCTATCGTGTCTACTGCCTTCTA